TCCAACAACCAATCAAGCACTAGAAACAACACAAACAGATGCAGTCATAGCAAATAATATGTCACACCTACTTTTTTAGAAATCCTCGACCCCCTTTACTTAAAAAATTCAGAACTCAGTCAAAATAAGTTCAAACGGGCTAAAAAATTTTTCATAACCCCACTTTTGATCGTAGAATCCAAAAATATGAAAAAACATGTATGTTAATTTCGAGCATTCCACTACAATTCTCGATGGGCTCGTGAAGCCTCTCTTAAATGTTAATAGATTAACATTATTAGATTTCTAGAAAAAAAGATCATAATACCAATAATTTACAACCAGGACTCTCCGATCATTACTAATCACCGCTACCCAAATCTTCTTCCTAAACCACACTAGCCAGAATCGATTACCGAAACATTACACCCACTATTGATCGTGAGGGATGATATAACACGTGTATACACGTTATATGACATGAAAACATAATTGGTGATAGGTGTGACATATTATTTGCTATGACTGCATCTGTTTGTGTTGTTTCTAGTGCTTGATTGGTTGTTGAAAAATTCGTACGATTAAATATAAAAAGGTTCTGAAAAGAATGTGAATCAGTCATCAAGTTCAGCAATTAACAGTTGCAGTGGACCATAATGAGAGGTTTTATGAATCTATGTAACACAAATGCATATGTATGTACATTTTTAATTTGTTTTGTTTGACTGCGTAAATCTTTCATGGTACTATTTAATACAAGAAGTGAACTTGCTATTGCAGTACATTGCTCAGTCAAGGACCGAATACTACTTTCTATTGAAGATAAACATTCTTCTGAAAATAATGAAAGCATTCAAATTGGTTGATCATTCAGACGCATTTATAGTTTAGACCAGTCAAATAAACAGTAAATGCTTACCAACGACCAACGCACGGTCAAGTGTTATGGAAGATGCTGCTGGTGTTAGATCTTGTTGTTGTGGTACATGTGATTGTGTGCGTGCAACTAAATAGTTGGAAACTTAATCATATAAGACAGGAGCTTTTACCTTTATTGTTGAAAAATTTGCTGTTGTACTCTCAAACTTCAAACTTCGGTTACTAGTTTACCGTAAGTAACAGGTATGATTGCTCGAACAAAACTTGTTTTACCTTGCACGTGTAAAATCTCTTCTCTATAAAGAAGAGGTGAAACACAAGGAGAAAGTATGCAGGCATGGGAAGGCCTAAAGAGAAGTGATTTGATACAATGATGAGACATTACTTTACCGCCTATCTATCTCATAAAATAGTTAAGATTGAAAACGGATCAACAAATAATTAGAAATTACTTTTATTTTTATTTTGTGTTTTTATTGGTAGTGAACAATATTGTTGCTGTTGTGCTATTGAATGTGGAGCTGTCGTATCTAACACTGCGTTTTTTTGTAATGGTGTTGAATCAATATCTATCAATATACAAAGTTGAGATGTTAGGTTGGGCAAAGTACGCGTGAGAGGCTATATCAAATGTAATATTTTCTCTGTGTGTCATACATTCTACATACCTGCTGTTCGTAATTGTTCATTTCTAATTGTGGTACATGGTGATGTGGTGATGGAACCAGTTTGATTGATAGAAACATGTAAAGTAAAAACAGGAATCTTATTAAGTCATTGAAAGAAAGTAATTTAGTTTTTGTAAACATGGGAACAGTTTCATCAATTGGTGGAAGATTCTCTTCATTTTTATTTGGTAAGCCATCATTTGATTTTGTTGAATCTAGACAGGAGAAAACATCATTTCAGAAAATAGATAATTGACTATAACCATACAGTATTCTGTGCATACTTGAGCAAAATATTTGATCCTTGTTGATGATATAGGCCGTTTAATACCATGAGCTGATACTAATTGTTTCTTGTTATTATATTTTTTAACCTTTTGAACTAAAATGGATGGAACAAAGAAGAATGAAGTAACCTTAAGGGAAGCTAACTTTGCGAAATGTTATGAACTTGTCTACATTCAGGTCAGCACACTCATTGTCTCTGCATTAAAAATGATTAAATCCTGATTAGAACAAAAAACTATGGTGGTGCTCAAACGATAGTTTCATCAAATGCATAAAACTAATTATTTACATTCCATAAATGTTGGTGTTTGACTGTTTGTATTATGTTTGCTTGTTGTTCTGTTTTTTGTGTGGTCGTATTTGTAAAATCAGAATATTCGAATTCAGACGTGTCATTATTCACTTTTTTCATTCTTGTGGTGTCTTGTGGTGCATACTTGCTTTGATCCTACAGTGTTTAAAATAGCATTGAAAAATATGAACAGAGGTACATGTTTTCAGTCAATAAATATTAAGTGATTTCCAAATTTATATATTACTGTTTTCTTCACATCATCTATATCTTCTTTGATCTATTCTTGGATATATTGAAATTGTTTGTTTTCTTTTGGTATAGATACAGATGATTTTAATAGTACAAAACCGTCAAGACGATTCAAGCCTCCAAGAGCATCAACAACGACAATATTAGATAGATCCATGACACGCAGTGGTAATAAACGTAAAGATTCACCTCATGTTGATTTAGAACCATCCCCGAAAAGAATGACACATTCATCAATAGTTGCTACCTGCTAACAGTTGTGTACAGGTATATGTACAGTATCTTACCCGTTTCTTTGTTGTTTCTTAATGTATGTGTGTCTCATTTCTATCTGTAGGATTTAACCAGAATATATTTCGAATCAATAGTGTGTGTTGTGTTTTCTCTAGTTTTTAGGATATTTATAACAATTAATTAATTTTTTATTGCAGTTTTTTGGTGTTTTATCTTTTTTTCCCCTTGTATCAAAGTGTTTCGTGTTCTAAACTGACTTAGCAAAATCAAGAAAAGTTGTTGCGTGTTTATTTACTCGTACATTTCGTCGTTTAATAATCTTTGTTGTTTGGTTTTCTTTAGTGCTTCAAAAACGTTGAAGTTTCTTTCTGCTATTACATAAAATTCTTGTTTCCGTTTGAGTGTCAAAAGAGAAACAAGAGATATATATCTGCGTTTGTATTAACAGCAATACCTTTTTTATATGTCATTTATTAGAATATATAAAGAGATCAGTGCCGGTTAAGCAATTTTTTCAGCTGTTAAGATAAAACAATAAAATATGTGTATACTGGTCGCTATTAGTATAACTCGGAGTGAATTCTGTTCTAATCTAATAAGAACAGAACTTCTGAGGGTGAATGCCATTCTTTGAAAACGAATTAAATATACACGAAGTAAATTATTTTCTAGATGGATGTTCATATGACTAGTGAGCCATCATTGATCGATAAAAAGTTTTTTGATAAGGTAACACAAACTGATAATCAGGACTCTCTTTTAACTTACGTCACCCAGACAATGGAACCAGACGAAATATCAGTTTTAATGGATTTAGATAATTGTCTTCCCGATGAGATAACTGACAAAAATGTGCATCTAATGAATATTATAAATATAACTTACCGAATATCAATGAAAAAAGAACCTTATACTCTAGAAACAATAAAGACAATAGTCACTGGTATTAGACGAACACATACATTATCAAAGTATTTTTCTTCTTCTATTAATTATCTGACATTGATCGATAATTACGAGGCTAATGTGACAATATCAAGTTATGTTAGTAGAATCCATTTATTACCCTTTACCAAAGAATGTTTGAAATGTAATGTTGATTTAATGCCACCAAAGCCAGCTAAACGTCTAACGATTATGAATCAAAATACGGTCGATAGTGGAGTGCTTTATCGAAGTGAATGCAAAAAATGTGCAACAATTTATTGGCCTATGCATTATGAGGAGTAATTCCAAAAAGACAAATACGTTACACCAGCATCAATGAAAAATAACAAATTTATCTATTTCGGAGGAGAGACGGCAATTAATAATAATTTACTGCTTGAATTCACCTCACTATTAAGACGATGTCATACAACATTCAATGGGTTTTGTGCTGCATATAATGATCGAATATTAGAACAATCACATTCAAGCAAAAAATACGGGAATAAACAGCCGGATGGACTCGATCCAAAATTATTCCAGAATGTTTGGATAGAATATCAGTTAGCTAGAATACCATTCATGTTAACAACACTAAAACAGTTTAAAATATTACAATCATGTATCAACAAAGCTGCAAGAGATCATTATTTTAAAGTAATTAATCAAGAGTTCTACAAACTATTTGTGTCTTTATGGAGTAATCACAAAACGTTGTCAACAAATAAACACTGTAAAGACAACTGTTCATCTGTATTTATTTGCGACGGCCACCAAAAACCATGTAGACTGGTTTGTAAACAAGATATGACTGATAAAGATTGTATAGAATTAGGAGGAGTTATGGTTGGTTGTCCGGAAACTCCACAACAGAAAAGCCAAAGTAAAATCTTAGTGCTTTTTATCTTCATTAAATCGGCTTGTCCAAACGTAACGCTGTTACGTTTTTGACACACTTTTCTTCGATTATCTCGGAAAGTTGGAGAGCTAGAAAGTTCGTTCAAATGCCATTCGACGCAGCTCACTATACTCTCATTTATGCTATAAAAACGAAGTTTTTTTGCTTGAAGTCTTGAGCTTCGAGAAAGGTTTTCCATTGCGTAACGCTGTTATATAAAAAGACCCTAAATTCGTAGTGCTCATGCTAAAGTTCTAATTTCCTGCGAAAGTCGTTCTCTAAATGAAATGCCCCTAGAGCAAGTTTTGTAGAGCATCGAACGAGCTTTTCAGCGGTAAAAAAATTTTCTTCTAACTATTTTTACTCGCGTAAAAAAAGCAAAAAATAAACGTAACGCTGTTACTCATTTTTTTGTCACCATTTTAGGGCACTCAACCTTGTTCAAACAACTTCATACTTATAGCTTGAGTACTAGCCTTTCTGAAGATACTCCACTTGCAAATAAACCTCCAAAAGTTGTTTCAGGCTTTTAAATCGAGTCCGAAGTTCAAACTTGCAAGCCACCCTTGTGTCTCGACTGAGAAATATTTCTCAAAACAAAAGGAGCCATTTTGTAGAGAATTGAATTCTCTATTCGACAGTATATTTTTAAATCTTTTTACGAAACTCTTTAGGTCAGAAAATTAAAATTAAAGTTTTCAAAACTTTTAAATTAAAATTAAAATTTTTTAATTGAAAATTCAGTTTTTTTCAAAATAAAGGCCGAATTCGTGATCAGCATGAAAAACTGCGTCTGGTGATGGGCTCCTATCAATTTTCCGATGAGAAAAATAAAAACAAAACTTGATCAGCGAAGTGTCGCGTTACGTGGACAAGCCGAAATACAGTTCTAAGTTATATTCATTATCTGTTCGTAAATTAAGAAGTTCACATATTTNATAGTGAGTAACCAAACAACATTTCGCACGGTTCATCGGTATGGGTAGCTACGGGTAGGTATGAGTATGCACAGATTATTGAGGTAGCGATTTTGAGGTTGCAACAATCCGTAATTATCCATGAGGTCGTTCTGATATGCGCTTCTGTGCGGTCGTCGAGATAATGCTGTTTAGTCGGTATAGACAAGCCGAAATACAGTTCTAAGTTATATCTACATGATTGCTCTTTTTCTGTATAGAGAAAAGACAAAAGGAAGACGGACGATATTGTTATTTACACCAACCAACGAAGAGTCAACAACCCGCCACAGACAATGGTACAATGGTGGATCTACGTGACACAACTATTAGAAAAGAAATATGTGAACTTCTTAATTTACGAACAGATAATGAATATAACGGATTGTGTAATGTTTATCGTGATTGTTATATTGAACATAAGCAATCTTCATTCGGGTTCATTGCAACATTTCTAAACTGTGGCATAATCGTCGGCTTCACGGAGTCTGTTCGAGCCGAAAGTGTTCGCCGCCTGTTGCGTCATTTATTAGAAATATTAAAATATGGAAGCTTACCACCGAATATGATGTATGACAATGCTTGTGCTGTCAAATTATATACCCCTGGCAAAAATAAGTTTCCCTCTGTATTTTGAGGATATTGTTACCAAAAGAACAGCTTTTTTAAAAAGTAACAACATATTCGGGAAGCCCGTGAAATTTTACATCTTCCTGTATATTTATATTTTTGTTTGGATCGCTATGTAAAAAAATTATTCCAAAGAAATGAACACACCTTCCGTACCTCATTTCCACCCAC